AAAATAAAAATATGGATGAAAATGATTAAAATATAACTCAAGGAACTAAAACAATTTTTTCTCAAAGTTTAGAGGGCCTAGGATCCCCTAGTTAGGCCTCTCTTTTCTCAATTAAAACAACTTCTTATAAAGGATATTATTTTTGTAAACCGTCGACACGTTTTATGGCCATGGCCATTGATGGGAAAGAAACTACCCACAAATGGACCCGCTACCATGAATGCACAAAATGGACTAAACTAGTCCACCTTACTTTTCTGTTTTTAAAAGCTTTTGAGATTTTTTTTTTTAAAGTTAATTTTAACTTCTAAAAAGAAAGAGTAGAGGTTGGACTTCTAAACCAATAGTGTCTTGCTTGTTAAGATCCCTTTGGTAAAGTTGTTGCTTTTTGGTTTTTTTTTTTCTTTTGTTAAATTTATAGGATCGCATAGGATAAATTTATAAAAATAATAGATTTTAAAATATATGTACTTTTTTTTTAGCATGTTAGCTAATTAAAATTTTCACAAAAAAAAGGGTTAATGAGCAAGAAAAATAACTATAAGAATTCAAACTTATATGGATGAAGAAACACATTTTTTTAATAAATTATTTAGTTACTCAAGCACTCTTTCTCTAGATTATTTGCACATTAAGCAACTATAGAAAAATATGAAACTTACAAAGTAGCCACTACTTTTGATAAATTGATACGACAATTACAAAGGTATTAATGCAAAATTTTACATATAATTAAACTCTATTAACTGATCCATAAAGAATTTCAAATGAGATATCTTTAATAGGAAAAAAGTGTACGGCATTTTACCAAAAAAAGTGTACGGCAAACTAGCACCTTAACTACCAACAAAAGCCTTAAACCCTCAAACTCTTCAAATAGTTGCAAATTAACCCCTATTTGACAGATGACGTCAATAATTTGGTTAACTCAAACGGATAGCCAGTTCTGGTGGGTTCCACAAAGTGACCTGGCGCTGACTTGGAAAATTTTTTCATGTTGCAGACTTTTTTTTTAACAAAATCGCAAGGGGTGGGTTCAAATCGTTGTCCTGGAGGACGGATAATGCACTTACATGTGGTTTGACGCTATTAAGTTAAATGCTCAAGTGCCATGTTGTAGACTCTTATGCTTACATGATATGATTTGAACTTAATTAAAAGATGGTGATATAAAAATAATTTTTTTATAAGTTTTTTTTATATAATTTATATGTGTTATTAAATAAATATATATTGTCAACAACTTAAATAATTCAATAGTAATTTTTTTTTTGAAAGTAAGAGAATTTGAATTCAAATCGCATGACATGCAGCTGGGATAAGATAAGAAGTGAGAGATGATTATCTTCTATTATGTAATCAAGATAAAAAAAAATACATCTAATATTATGAATTTTAAATAAATAAAAAGAATTAATTATAATTCGTAAGTTTATATAAAAAATGATAAAAAAATATTTTTGAATAATTTTTTTAATTAGAGTATAGTGACCTAATCAATAAGTGGATGTTTGGATTAAATTTTTAAATATAACTAGTAGTTTATAGTTAATATTTGATGATTGATAATTATTGTTATTTAATTATTTAACCTTGCCAACGCAATCTTGTACTCCTTTGTTGGGAATAACATGATCCAAAACTTGGATATAAAAGCCCCATCTTTCTACTTCAATTGCAACTAAAAATAATAGAATTATCTCAAAATTTAAGCGAAAATGAAATTTTCATATAAGTACAAACCAAGGATCCAACTCCAAAATTTTGATATGTGCCATTGTTTATGCGGCAATTCAATACTTGGTACCTTTGCTACGAATTGAGATGCAGTAGATCGAACTTCACAGGAGATGAAAGGGTCTGTAATAAGAACGCTTTGAGTTGGGCCTTTGTAGACACATGCAAGGTCACCCATCTTTGTACAAGTTCAAACATGCGATGCTGTTCTTTGGCATCATTACCTTGTTTGGTGGCGACGAAGACACCAGCTTCGACCATGCCTCAGAAACCTAGCACCACGAGGTTGAACCACAAGAGACGGCAAGGTAGCAGCGGAGTGTAGAGAAAGAGGAACCATGGGTGGGTAGCGGAAGAGGAACAATGGGTGGGTAGGCGAAAGCGAAACCATGGGTGTCCATTGGCTTAATTTTCGAGTTCGCTGGCTTGCTTGACAATGGCGGCGGCGCCTTGTTTTTACATGCTGGTGAGGAGTTAGGGCAATTACATGCGGTTGCAAATAACTCCAAATCTTTCTCATTCAGATCTTCCCCTCAGTTAACCCGCAAAACCTCGAGATTAATCATTAAGATAGACACTCCGATACTTAAATAAGTAATAATCAAATTTGTTAAACATAAATGCTTGATATCGATTCAATTACCTCTTAAAGGTGATCTTTGAGTGTATTTATAAGTTTTAAAAGGGCATCCACGCATCCTTTCTTACGGAAAACCGGAATCATATGCAAGGACAGAGCTAGTGTAGCAAAGGGGAGAGGGGGCAGCCGCCCCCCTAAGCTTTTGAAAATGTTAAACATGGTACATTTTTGTTTTTTACAAAATTCTATGTTTGAAGTTAATTTGAATAATAGAGACCATTCAAATATA